TTGAATTCTTGAAACAAATTTGTTATCGAAATTTGTGCGAGTTTCAATTTTGATGTTTGCAAGATGCAACAATTTGGTTTATGTAATAAAATTGTTTGGGATGTAATCTTGAAGTAAATTGAAATTATGATGAATTGTGTTCCCCCGACATGATAATTTTTTTATCATATATGTCGTTTTTGACTTCATGTTTCCTATGCCATTGCCATGAGTGAAAGGAAAATGGAGCAAAGATGTAATCCTTATAGGAATTAAATAAGCTTGCTAAATAATGGTGATCATCAAGATAAACATATGGTCAGAATTGTTTATGGTATATGTACACTATATCATTGGAAAACAATTTGATTTATGATTATGAATGTGAAGCTATTTGTCAGAATTGTTTATGGTATATATAGACATATATCATTGGAAAACAATTTGGCATGAGAGTTCAATTGAGATGATATTATTGAACTTAAAGTCTGAATTACTTATGATATGTTTATGAACTGCATACCATTGGTAAGTGATTAGACCATTGATTTAAAATTTTCATTTGAATTGCTTGTGGTATGTCAAGTTACCTTCATGAAAAGTCATTGGTAAGTAATTAGATGGTATTTTCAATACAATCTGGAAATGCAACTGAATTACTTGTGGCATCTCAAGTTACCTTGACAATTCCAATGGTAAGTAATTAGATGATATTTCTAATAATATCTCAATTGTTTGTGGTATGCTAATCAATTAATCAATACCATTGGTAAACAATTAGATCAGTGTAGTGGTTGAAAGTTCAATAAGTAAAATCATGGAAAATAAAATGAAATTATTCCATGATAGTTCGGCAAGTGGTAGAATTGTGGGGGAGTTGTTTGTGATGCTAGTTGGATAACGAGTACTAGTGATAATAAATCTACAACGGGTAGATTTTACACTAGGTGATGGAGTTGTTTCTTGGCTTCGAAGAAACAAACATGTGTTACACACTTCACTACGGAAGCTGAATCCCTAGCCGTTGCGTCAGCTGGAAACGAGGCAGAATGGCTAAGAAAGATATTGTTAGATATCGAGTTGTGACCACAACTGATTTCAACCATTTCTGTCTTTTGTGATAGTGAGGCTACTTTGTCAAGATTTACAATGATAAGTCTACAGATATTAGCCTAAGACGTGATTACGTTAGTATTTGATTACTAATCATTTATATTGTGTATGTAAGATCAAGCAATAATTTGGCAGATTCTCTTACCAAGGTATTGCCAATAGGCATTATCTATGAGACATCCCAAGGGATGGGATTGAGACCTTTTGCGTTGTTAGAAGTAATGGAAACCCAACCTTTTCTTTAGGTATTCACTAATTAAAAGGTTCAATGTGGTAATAACAAGTTACTCTAACTGAGGTACTAATTTTGTTGTACAAGTAAACTAGTCCAAAGAAGGGTGAGTTATAGAACTCTTGAGATAAGTTGTAGAACTCTTAATGAATTTATTTGGAATGTTACCTATGTGAGCATTAAGAGTGGTGCCGCTCTAACAAAAGTAGATGTCAACTTTTGTGTATGCTCATGAAACAGGATCAGCACATGGCCATAATAGTGCTACCCTTGTTGGTGGTTGTGGTTTAGAGAAGAGACAAGTACGTGTGTGGCATCTCCGGTTATAGCTTTGGATCGTGACTCCTAGGCTTAAGCCCGTCACTGATTCGTTATCAACTTTGAGTTGCTTACACTAGGTAAAGGTTCAAATCAAAAAGATACCTTTATGTATGCGTCACTTGTTCGAGGCAGGCATTCTCAACTCTTGTTGACTAAGTGGGGGATTGTTAGAGTTAGTCAATAGAGTTGTAATACCACATTGATGGGAGAAGTAAAGTATAAAGATGAAGTCTTTTGACAGTTTAATTAATTAATTAATTTTTATATGAATTAATTAGCGTTTGAATATTGTGAAAAAGGTGTACTTTCGGGAAAGTTAACTACCTTTTTATGTGAAAGGATGTGTCCTTTCGGGATAGGTAACTACATTTTTTCTATGAAAGGATTTGTCTCTTCGGAAGGTAACTTCCAGTTTTGACAAGTATAAATAGATGACTGCCATAACTCTTTTGATGATGCGAGAGAATACTTCTTCTTCCCGTTTTTCCTTCTCTATTTCATAATCACAAAAATCTGCAAGATTGCTGCTTCCAAACTTAAAATTGAAGGGACTCCTGGGGTGATTTGCTCAAGCCTACCAACAATTTGTAGTGGGGCAAATAACACTCTAACAAGAGTAATTAATCACGCCTTCAATCCGATTCTTTCCTACCAGTTCCTGACAAAATGAACTAGCTCTTTTGTTCTAATATTGAAAAGTACCACATGCCTTTGTCGTCAAACTTATATATTGCCACCCTGCAGTGTCCAGCTATGCGAGGGAAAAAAGTCCCTCTCTGCTTGTATATATGTTAACAACCATCCCAGAAGTATATAACGGTTTCACGATTTCAACACACCGAAACCCGGGCTCGAACTGCAGTTAGGGTCTGGGAAATTTCAGGCATGTTTTAAACGCTTTAGAAACAAGGGGAATAAAACTATTTGGCCCTATTCCATCTATGGTATTCAAGTGAAAGGAAAAGAAAACCGTAGAGAAGAGGGAAGGGAAAGGAGACGGGAAAAGATGGGAGCTGCTGGGAAGAAAAGGAAGGAGGCCGGAAATTGTGAGTGGAAGGATGAGTCACACTGAAATCAGTATCCTCCCTCGCTCGGCGAAACAGAAAAGAAAGAGAGAAAGAAAGGCCTAGAAAGCAGCATTTTTTTGGAAACGCGCTTTGAGTTGGCGCGGAATGGGATAAGTGGGAGCTGCCTTTTCCTTTTTCTTTTCTGTTCGTGCGCGCGTGTGTTGGTGGAATTCGTACGTGGAGATTGGGGAGAGTGGAGTGGAGGAGGGTACGTGGGCAAATAAGGAAAAAGTTAGGGGGCAGGTTGGAAAGAAAGAAAGAAAGTAGGAGATTTATTAAAAAGCAGTGGAGCTCAAGGCAGCGTTTGGGAAGACTGAAGAGCAAAGGCGGACTACCAAGTTGGACTGGAATGTTTCTTCGTCTCGCCACTTTTCTCCCTTACCTTTCCCTTTCCTTATCCTCTCCTCTCCCGCTCTTTCCTTTACCCATTTGCACTTCCTCGCCGGTTCCTTAGTCATTCCGGTCTAATTTGTTGGGAATTTTGCATCGAAACTTATATTGCTTAAAGCTTCATTAAAACATGAGAAATTGTCAACACAAAGCGATGGTAGAGGTCCAATGCTATTTCTATGCGAGTTGGTTGTCATATTAACCATCCACCATCTACAGAGATAGTCATCAATTAACGTAGTCGCTACGCCAGTTGGATGTCATTAAACAGTTATTGAACACGTCCAATGTTATAGTATTCATCCGTCATACTTTCGAAATGGTCATCGTGGATAGTGTCTTTTTTGTTACATGGATAATACCATCCATTTAGGAATTACTATCATGGGGTGGATGATATTATCCATTTATGAATTTGATGGTATCCACAGTGACTGAAAATCATACACTTGAATGGTAATCATGGGAGTGAATCATATCATCCGCTAGAGATTCGAATGGTAATCATGATCTTGGATGATAACATTGATTTAGGAATTGGATGATAATAGGGACAACATTAATAACAGGAGTTGTCACCATATTGGATGGTAACCATGCACACTAGATGGTCACCTCGGCCCAATTATTATTATTATCCAACAAAGCACAATTCAACATGACAAATAAGAAAATCCCTCTAGCCATACTATCTAAAGTTGCCAACTAAAAAAAACACATGGTACTTAAGGAGGTAAAAACATTTTGGGATAAGTGGCAACAAATCCATTTTACTAACGAAAATCTCATGCTCAAAGAGATACTATTCATAGCAAGATTTTGGGGGTGTTGCATCCAAAAGTCGCTACACTTAATCCCTATCACTGTTTGTGTTTCATCCGCATATGTAGGCATGTGATCCTTCGTTCCTATTCTGTCATGAGAGTCACAATTCCCCTGGATGCCTCAAACGGGAAGAAGATCATATCCATATCATACTTATAAGTTATAATCTTATATATATTGGTCCATTTAACACTACATATCAGTTATTGGTTGCTTTATGGCAAGTTATTGAAGATATTTGAGTCATATCGAATAATATCAAGAGAAATCTCTGACGAGCACTCTTGCACTTTAGTTTTTCCACTCATTCGCCATCCATAACACAGATTTTAAACTCCAAACAATATTCAACAGAATATCTTAATCACACTCTCGCACTATAGAAAAACAAATGAATAACAAGCAGCCAAAGTACAATCATACTATTAACATACATGGATTACCAGAACTCACTAATCCTAATACAATTTTGTATGTCACCAAACGCTGCCCATACTTTTATGTGTATTTTAATTTTTTAGTTTTTCCATAAAATATCACATGTTGAAAATAAGATATAAAAAGAGAATAAAGAAGGGAGAGTGAGCACCACGTAACCAGGAGAGCGCGTGAGACAATAGAAGGTGATGACTCGTTGAGGCGGTTCTCCCCCTCTCTAGTTCTACACGGGATGACCCGTTTTGGGCCCACAGTCCACAACACCCTTTCCTCCCAGCAAAATTCCAAATTCATTGAGGTTCAATTTACACCCGCAATTTGCATTTCATTTCAGTTGCATTTAAAGAATAACCCAGTGCTGATTAGCATATAGTTAGTAAATACTCATTTTAATACATGTATATGTATCCATATGTATTTTATCCGTTTAAAACTTTCATATTCGTATTATTGTCAAGCCGTTTCATTTTCCCGTTCATTTGATGGCTCCGATACTAAACACGTATAAAACCCGTATAACACGTTTATTATCCATATTTTACGAATTAAATTGTTAACTTTAATATTATTTAAATATTTATTTATTATTTTAAAAATGATTAATTTTATATATTTATGACTATTAACGTACTATTAAACATAACTTTAGCTTAGAAATAAAGCATAACACCCGTACATATTTTTTACGTAATACTGTATTTTACTAACTATGCTGATTAGATCATCAAAGAGATCATCAAGGAGAAAGACAGCCTTTTCTTAAGCCCTTTGATGCTTTGACTTTGACTCTAAAATCAAAACCATACAGAAAATTGAAAAAGAAATAAAAAAAAGGGTAAAAGAAACAAAAAAGAGGAGCGCACACCGCTCAGCAAAAGCAAATGGGAAAAAATAAAAATAAAATAAAATTAAGAGGGCTGAAGAAGAAAATTCCTAACTTTCCTCCCTCCTTCCTGAAAACCTGAACAAGGGTAGGAAGAAAAAGCCCCTCGATATATAGAGACGCGCCTCTCACTTCATTCTCTCAATCAGTTCGCTCCCTGGTAACACATAAAACTAAACCGAGAGAACCCTTCTCTCTTTTTCTCTCTCAATTCCGTTCAATATCTTCAATTCAATAAGGAAAAGCAGAGCTTGTTGGACTCAGACGCAGTCTCTGGTTTACTTAATCCTACGACCCATCTCTCGACAGAAGAGAATATAGGTAAGCACCGCTTGTCTTCTGGGTTTGGTGGGTTTCAGTTTTGATTTGGTGAAAAAAGTTTGAAACTTTGGTTCTGGGTTTTGCTTGGATTGTACGGGCTACTTCTTCTTCGAAGACTTCCTAAAGTCTTCGTTTGGGGGGTTTGGATTTGACTTGTCGTCGTTTTATAGCTCTAATTTCTTCCCCTGTTACTTTTTGTGTTGTGAAGTTTGGTGGGTTTGATTTTTAGGTAGGAATAGGCTGAGATGGAATTGGGGATTTGGGGTTTGCTGATAAAAATTCAATATTTGGCTCTGTTGAATTGAATTCTTCTTGTTGAGGCCATCAATGGAACTTTCTGGATTTTAAGGGTTTTCTTTTTCCTATCATAGCTTTTAGGTTTTCTGGTTAGACTTTCGAGCACATCAATTGTTGTTGTAAATTTGGTTTGAGGCGGTGTTTAATTGGTTGAAAATTCCTTTTACAGGAGCTACTTATGTGCAAAGGTTCCAAGACCGCTCTTTCGCCTTCCAACACCAACAACATGGAAGAACCTTCGTTTAAGCAGAAAGGCAGCACCTTGTCTACCTGCTCAGTTCTGCTCGAGTTTGCTGCCTCTGACGATCTCGTTTTCTTCAGAAACGAAGTCGAGGGAAATGGGCTGGATGTTAATGAAGCAAGCTACTGGTATATCAGAAGAAACGGTTCTCGGAAGATGGGTTTTGAACTCAGAACCCCTCTCATGATTGCTGCCTTGTTCGGAAGCACAAGCGTGGTGAAGTACATCATTGCAACTGGCAGAGTCGATGTCAACAGAGCTTGCGGCTCCGATAAGGTTACTGCGTTGCACTGTGCTGTAGCTGGTGGCTCGAATTCCTCGGCCGAGATCGTCAAGGCTTTGCTTGATGCTTCGGCTGATGCTGATTGTGTCGATGTTAATGGAAACAAGCCGGCGGATCTCTTCATGCATTCCTCCAAATGCCCTTGCAATTCGAGGAGGAAGCTGATCGAGTCGTTGCTCAAGGGTGAGAGTTTGAGTGAAGATGAGGAGGAGAAGCTTATCATGGCAGTTCCAGCTCAGCTTGCTAAAGAGGGAGCAACCGAGAGGAAAGAGTATCCTATCGACGTGTCTCTCCCTGATATCAACACCGGTGTCTATGGTACCGATGAGTTCAGGATGTATTCATTCAAGGTTAAGCCCTGCTCGAGGGCATATTCTCATGACTGGACTGAGTGCCCCTTTGTCCACCCTGGGGAGAACGCTAGGAGAAGGGACCCAAGGAAGTACCCTTACAGCTGTGTCCCTTGCCCTGAATTCCGAAAGGGCTCGTGCCAGAAGGGTGATTCCTGTGAGTATGCTCATGGTGTGTTCGAGTCGTGGCTGCATCCTGCTCAGTATCGGACAAGGCTTTGCAAGGACGAGACTGGTTGTGGGAGGAAAGTCTGTTTCTTTGCTCACAAGGTTGAGGAGTTGAGACCAGTCCATGCGGCCACAGGTTCAGCTATGCTTTCTCCTCCTAGGTCTTCTGCTTCTGGAATGGAGATGCCTTCTTTGAGCCCACTATCTCTGGGTTCGATGTCTATGTCATTGCCTACCGCTTCCACACCTCCCATGTCACCTTTAGCAACTGCGTCTTCGTCCCCAAAGAGTGGGGGGTTGTGGCAGAACAAGATCAACTTCACCCCACCTGCTTTGCAACATCCAGGAAGCAGGTTGAAGACTGCTATGAATGCTCGAGATTTTGATTTGGAGCTGGAGTTGCTCAGGTTTGAGAACCAGACCAACCAGCTACATCAGCAGCAGTTGATGGAAGAGATTTCGGGTCTCTCCTCACCAACCTGCTGGAGAGACTTGAATCCTACTAACCTAGATGATTCATATCATTCTCCAACGGGTCTTCAGATGCGCCAGAATGTGAACCAACTCCGTTCGAGTTACCCTTCCAACGTGTCATCTCCCCAGTCGGCGAGGAAGCTCGGGTCATATGGAGGGTTCGATTCGTCCGCTGCAGTGGCTGCTGCTGTGATGAACTCTAGGTCCTCGGCTTTTACAAAACGGAGCCAGAGTTTCATCGACCGTGGTGCAGCAGGCAACAACAACCGCCATGGATTCACCGGGCCGACAGCCAACTCAGTTTCGATGATGTCACCCCCCAACCATCTCTCCGACTGGGGCTCACCCGACGGGAGGCTCGATTGGGGGATGCAAGGAGACGAGCTCAACAAGCTCAAGAGGTCTGCTTCTTTCGGCTTCAGAGGCAGCCACAACAATAGCCCCACAACCAGGCCTGCAAGTTTGGCTATGTCGAACAATGGCGAGCCAGACGTTTCGTGGGTTAACTCGCTGGTCAAGGACGTTCCTTCCAGCATCGATGGAGGTGGTTTTCGCGAGAATCGTTTCAGCAACGGGAGTGGCGTTCGTGAGTCATCCATTCCACCATGGATGGAGCAGATGTATATAGAGCAGGAGCAGATGGTGGCATAAGTTCAAGTGGGGAGAAACCTCCCTTTGATGATCGCGAGGATGCAGATGGAGATGATGATGATCAACCTGACAGTTGTTTTCTTCTTTATTATTCAAATTGATATTGCAATTGTTGTTTAGTAATCTCTTATTTACTAATTGTGTTTACATTCTCTGTGCAAAACTGAGGAGGCACAGACAGGAAAGCGGGGGAAAAAAAAGGCTAGGTTCATAGATAAGGTGATTATATATTCTTTAATTAATTTAATATATATCTTGAAATGTATTTTCTGTATTCTCTCTGCCTCTCGCTCTAGGTTTGATGGTTGAGGGAGGAGAGAGGGAGAGTGTCTGTGTTCTTCCTCCCCTGTAACCTCTTCAATAATTATAAGGAAAATGGTAGAGAAGGGCCATTTCTGTTCAAATATGATCTCTGTTCTTGCTGTTTCCATCATTGTACTCTTTAGTTTGAATTAGTCCAAACATGGCATCGTTTCTCTGTTCTTGCTGTTTCCATCATTGTACTCTTTAGTTTGAATTAGTCCAAACATGGCATCGTTTTCTTCTTCTATCTCTATATCGCAAGTCTTTACTTCTAGATGATGTCGATCTCTTGGCCCTATGGAAGCCAACAAGCTCGTAGACAAGATGGCAAAGGTTGCAAATTTTGAATTTTCTCTGGCTACCCTACCTTAATGATCATCATATGTATGTATGTATCTATCTTTAAACTGCCATGGCACTATATGTTGTATGGCAGAGTCGCCTTGAGAACAGGGGCGGCCGCGGTGACAACGACGAAGGACAACGGAGATGTGAACCATCATCGTGTTTCAATCATTTCATATCCGTCAAAGTTTTTTCCGATCAAAAAACGAATTCACAATCAGTAGTTTGATTTCACGGTTTGATCTTTTCTGTTTCTAGGTGCATACATTTTCATTTTGATGGAGGGTGGGTGGGTAAAAAGGGGATATTTCTTTCTTTCCACCATGACTTGTCAAAGGACAGATGTCATCAAGATAATGGAATAAATCGGCCGACCATGAGCTAGGGGGACGGTGGCGATGCTACCTCTGATCTTTTGTTTTCTTGTGGGTTTGGGGATTAATGAAAGGAGAAGAAAAGGAAAGCATAGAAAATAATAATGGAGCTGGCCTGCTTTCGTTGATTATCATTCTCTCTCTCTCAATCTCTCTCCGGCCAGCAGCGGCCAAGTACAACAATCCACCATGAAAATTGACAGGGAGGCCCCGCCACCGCCATCATCTTCCTTCTGACCTTCTCTCACTCATTAATTTATTTCATTTTTCTCTGGCTTTCTCCGCTCCTTTCTTTCTTTTGATTAGGCGTGCGCTGGCGCCTGGGTTTGAAGTAGCAGCAGAGAGAGAGAGGAAGGGTATTGGTTGGCCGGCCCCCTCTTATCCTTCCTTTCCCATTGGCTTCTTCTTTCTTTTCCTTTCTTCCCTTCCGCCTCTTTTGATCTTTTCCCACATTTCTCACCACCACCATTATTCTACGAGTGGTTTGGTTTATGTAATTGTTAAATTGATATATTGTGATTAATACATGTATTATATTAGAATTTGATATTATATAGATTACAACGTTTTGTATGTGTATTTGTGCTTTCACTAGTTAAAAAAGGAAGTCAATTTTTAATGGAAATATTACTTGTATCATTTATTTTTTTGAAGAAATTAATCTCAACTAGACAATTTCAACAAACTCAGCTTTTATCTGAGATTGTACAATTATTCATAATAAATTATTATTTCTATCACATCAAACAAATAATGAATTATAACCAATACAAGTATAGTAACAATCATAACCAAACAATCACAGAAATCAAACGACCCCTATACAGGATAAGTGACTTGTTTCAAGTTCATATTCTTTATTTATATGATGAAATCAACATAGCAATTATCTTCATTTTTTTTAATTATGATAACGATCCTACTCCTATAACTTGTTCGGAATCAATTCCAAAAAAAAAAAGAAGATGGGATAGAAATTAGGAGTTTAAATAAAAACTCTGATCGAGAATAATTCCTATATGAATTGACAAAAAGAAAAAGAATAATGACTTCTCTTTTTATCCCACCTTCATCTTGCTCCATCATTGCTTAAATAACTAACACTATCAACAAATTAGTACGAAAAATATTTTAAATTTTGTGTTTCATTCAACTCAGTCTTTCAAGTTTCACTATTTTTTTCCCCGTAAAAGACGTCAATAGTTTTATTTTAACGTCAATATTCCTGTTTGTGTCTGGAATGTACCAGGCGGTTTTGTGAGACCTCACTGACCGTTGGCGGCTTCGGTGGTCAATGACGGTCTCCGAAACCCTGCAAAGAAAGGTCTTCAGGTGGAACCTGGGACCTCCTCCGATGCCTAAGTTAGAGAGAGAAGTGAGAGAATAGTAAATAAGAGAGAGAAGGGAGTTGGTAGAAGTTACCCCCAATCTAGTTCATCATGGAGTATTTATACTAGTTGTGGTTGGATCAGGGGCATTTAATGGCCTGTCGGGCGTCCTGGGACGCCTCTGACGGTATTTGGTTGTATCGTCAGACCATACCTTTGTCAGTCTTCGTACCGAGAGGTTCAGGGTCAGGTGTCCGTTTGTCTTTATGTCAGGCGGTCTTTATCATGTCGGACGGTCTTCGTCGTATTAGTAGGGAAAGACCGCCTTTGGAGGGTTTGGTGGCTCGTTGCCCCTGTTTGGGCCCGACTTGCTTCACTATGGGTTTTGGGTGACTATGGGCCTGAAGCCCAAGCGTCTCAATATTTGGCCCAACATTTGCCCCAACATTTGCCCCTTAGGCGTGGGAAGCGATAGGTTTTCGCGGCTAAACGATGTCTTCCGCCAATGTTGAGTGGTTTTGGGTCTTCTGGCTTGTAGTTTTACTTTAGGCAGTCATAGGACGCATAGAGTATGATTCCCTTGTTGCCCCTAGTCGCGGAAGCGTAGCGTGAGGGCGCCTGAGGGGTGAGAACCACATCCAGCCCTGCTATTCGACTCTTGCATCACCACGTGTCGTGCCTCGAGCATAGAGCTCTGACACCAGCAGGCGGAACATCACCTCTGGGGGTGTTCCGCTCTCGGGTTTCGCGAAAACATCTTGTCGGGGCGGCCTCTTTTCCCTTTTCGCCTTTAAGTAGGATTTTGGGAGAAATTTTGTCCCACACTCCTCCGAATTGGGAAAACTTCTCGTCTTCTTCCTCTTCCTTCCTCTGCGAAAAGCTCCAAGGTCTTCCACTCCGCCGCCTATATATTCGACTGTTCAGGTGAGTTTTTGACTTGGGTTCCCAGTATAGGGCGTGCGTTTCCCTTGCCTTTGCTGACTCGTGTGTTGCTTTTGTGGGTGGCGACGTTGTTTCGGGTTTTTGGGAATCGCCATCCCTATTACTCTCGCAGTCGACAGATGTCGGACGAAGGACCTTCGTCGCCGGTTAGCAGAGCGAGCCACGATGCCCCCAGTGTGGGGAACGCTTCAGTCGCTGACCCTGGGCCCGTGGTAGCGTCGGGAAAAGACCTTGTGACTTCGACCGCTACACTGCCTTCTCGCGCCGCCAGGAAGAAAACTGCGGGAACCGCCTACGGTATTCAAGGTACGAACTACCCTTCTCCCGCTCGAAGCATGTCTGAATGCGTGTGGGATTTATCCGGGTTAGTGTTATATGTTGGAGATGGATCTGAATTGAGAGACTGCCTTGTTGGGTCTTGCGTAGACTTAGATAACTCTTGTGCTAACCTCCACCCTGTACCAGTTGGGGTTGTGGCTACCTCGTCTGTGGGATTTATCCGGGTTAGAGTTATATGTTGGAGATGGATCTGAATTGAGAGACTGCCTTGTTGGGTCTTGCATAGACTTAGATAACTCTTGTGCTAACCTCCACCCTGTACCAGTTGGGGTTGTGGCTACCTCGTAGGCGGTCGGGGATAATCTTGGGGAATTTGAACGGGTAGATTTAGATAGCATCTCATTGGAAGATTCAGAGGAGGTGACTAGTGGTGGAGCGCGGTCTGGGGCGCATCCGAGTACTTCTTCCTCATTAGAAATTTCAGAGAGTGAGGAACCGAGACCGCTTCCCATTGCCATAAAGGATTCTGTATATACTGTTCTCCGACACGCGGGTATGTGGGGTGAGGAGACCATTCCTGAGGGGGTCTTCGAATAGGGTCCGCCTCACGTGGCGGCTTTTAAGCCTAAACATGTGCTATACAGGCTTAAGTCACTGCGTATGCCTCCGGACTGGCTTTACGCGGTTCCTTCTGGTCGGAGTCGCATTGGATCATGCCCCAGCGTTTGGATTCCTATACTGGTTGAGCACGTGAAGCTTGGGTTACGGTTTCCTCTTGACGATCTCCTGACAAGGATTTTGCATCGACTCCAATGCACTCTAGGGCGTCTCTCGTCGACGATTGTCTTCCATTCGGTTATGTACCGTTTGACGTGTGACCGCCTTAAAGAGGATCCTTCCTTTGATGCGTTTAGGCTGATTTACAACATTCGAGACTCGACCAACTGTTGGTCGATCGGGAGGCGGGAGAACTCGGTTGGTTTTGTGACCGGGGCGCATAAGCTGGACTCCCCATGGTATAAGGAGTATTTCTTTGCCCGCCCTTCGTGGAAATGGTATGCGGGTAATGTTGAGCCGCCTACCGGTTATGCGGTTGGCTCTAAGGACAACTGGTGTCACTCTACCCAGTTCCCTCAGTCGGTGCGGGACCATGTGGCGCGGATAGTGGAGGGCGTTCAGCTACGTGTGCAACATAGCGGCTCTAACAGTGCATACCAGCTCGTTCGCGGTTTTTATGGTTAGTAGTGTGCATTTGAAATATTGCTCTTATCCTTCTCATGTGTTTTTACTTATGTTTCCTTTCTCCAGGGCTGAGGGAGTTGGCGGATGCCAATAGGCCGAAAAAGAGGAAAGTTGGGAGGACCACACGAGCAGGAGATGAGTCTCCATCGACGGTGGCCACGATGATTGATCTGTCGGCGGCTCCTCCCGTCAACTCTCCCGCGAAACCGCCTAGTGCGGTTGGTGCATCCTCCATTCCTGCTGCTCGGGGTGCGGGAAAGAGGCTGATGGAGCGCGGGGCCCCCGAGGCGGCTACAAAGCGTGCGAGGGTCAGCTCCCCTCGTGTCAAGGCCGGGGAAAAGCACGGTCCCGTCCCGAAGCGGTCGACAAAGCCTGGCTCCGTGACCGTCCCCCCTTTGGCCGCCATTGACACGGAGGCGGCTGAGTTGGTGTTCCACACGATTAGTGAGCAGCTTGAGATGCCCAATGAGTACACCGCCACCTCGTCGGAGAGTAATAGGCGCCTTGCAGGAACCGCTTCACAGTTTTTCTTCGGGGTTAGTGAGTGCACTTGTCTGGATTGGTTCGTAAGTGTTGACGTTTTGCATGCTGATTTGGATATTGTTTTGCAGGCTCAGATTGGCTTCTCGCAAATCATCCTAATGAATGACCACTTGTCAAAGACCGTGGATGACAATGCGGTCTAGATTGCAAACCTGAAGAAAAGTGCGGCGGACGGTCGTGCAACATTGGAGGAGGAGCTGCGTCCTCAGATAGAGAAGAATTTAAGTGATCAATTGGCTAGCAAGGACAAGGAGCTTCGGATGAGAGGGAGGCATCGAAAGCGGTTCGAGCAGAAAGAGACCTCCTCCAAGACTCGCTTCGCAAGTCGGGGGAGATTGAGAAGACTCTCTTGGAGGGACAGGACGCCCTACGCAAGGAGGTGGATGCTCTGCGGTTGGAGAAGGCGTCCTTGTTGGTGACTCACGAGGCGGAGCCGACCGCTGCGCGAGCTGAGGCGGGTCCCGCCTATCTCTAGTCTGCAGAATTCCTTACACAAGATAAGGCGAAGTACAAAGAAGTGGTTGGCAACGTGGTGGCCGCCATTCACCACTTATTCCATGAGGATTGTCCCGACTTGGGCTGGGACACTGACCGCGTATGGGACGCTATTGGTTATTGGTCAGCCTTGGATGTGAATTCAGAAGCGGATGATTCAGAGGAAGATGAGGTGGGGGCGAGGAAGAACCATGTCTCCTTCCTTTGTAAATCAAGCTTAAGAACCATGTCTCCTTCCACAAGAGGTCGTGGGCTTACCCTCTTGTTGTAAGAGGCGCGACCTTTGCTTTTTCGCGCATGATACGTTCCATGGCCGCATCGCATCTTGACTCTATCATGTCCAGTTGTTCTAGCAGCCTCTCATGGTTGCGCTCTTGACTGTACGCCTGGACGCGGAGGTAGGGTAAGTTCATCTCCTCTGGGGCGACCGCTTCGGAGCCATAAGTTCAGGCGAAAGGAGTTTCGCCTGTGGCGGTCTTGTGAGTCATGCGGTGCGCCCACAGGATGTGAGGAAGCTCGGTGGTACATGCCCCTTGGCCTCTCGGAGGCGCCTCTTCAAACCTTGGAGGATCAGTTTGTTGGAAGCTTTTGCTTGTCCATTGGTTTGAGGGTATGCTACTGATGCCATGGTGCACACAATGCAGTTTCGAGCGCAAAAGTTCTCAAACGGTCGGCAGTCGAACTGCGTCCCATGATATGTGATGATTGAATG